ATAGGTAGATCTTGTCTTTCATAAAGGCCGGGGTCAGGGATCTTGGGCCTAAAAAGGTTGGTGACCACTGCACTAAAGAATATATCAAATCTTCAGCAGATAGTAAAATGTGTTCGAGTGTAGTCCGCGTGCTGAGAGACAGTGAGGAGTGATGATCACGTGACGCGGGCGTTCTGTACCGTAGCCTCGGCTTGTTTCTTTGAAAGAGGAAACGCGCCGCATTCACTCCTCACTGGCATCGTCTCTGAGGGGACAGAGCTCAGAAAATATTTTGTTTATTTTCGCTACAATTCACTAAGAAACCTAGGCAGCGGGTCGTTTTTCTTTTACTTCATCATTTCGCTATTTTACCACTATTTCGCCCAACAACCATTAGAAACGCCAACCTTGCTTCGAAGACTACACCTGTCCCAGCATCAACATCTGATCTGAGTGAGATTCCGCAAAGCTACTGGTAAGCCACGTTACTTTATGATGCTTTATACGTATTTTCTGCAATGATGTGAAAGTTGCATGTTTTATCTTAAATGCCACATTAGCGAATTTATATGTGAATGAACTACTGTGCATGTTATCAAGCTGTCCAGTATCAAAACGCACTTGATAGCAAATTAATGGCTAGTTTAAAATGCTTCCCCAAATTTTCCGTTTCCGAGCTTAATTTTGTCTTTCATTATTTAATTCGGACACTCGGTTGGTTGTTGTCGTTGCTGTTGCAGCTTCATTGTTCCAGGTGTGTGAAGAGTAGAATAGAGTAGCTTGCCATTAAAAATGAACCATGCTGCTTTTTTATTTTTTGTGGACAGAGTTGAGAGGAATTTTGAGAGACGCGCTCAGAAAATAACTTAACAAGCTTGCTGTTTTGAGCCTGCCTTTGTGATTCAGTCAAGTCCATCTTTGCTTTATTATAAGGGTTCAAACTGTGATGTTTTTCCAGTGTGTAAAAGGAATAGTATTGATTATTTTCTTAGCTCATGTTTTTCAAACCTGTCTTTCTTCCGTGGGCGACAAAATGAGATGCCCGAACTGCTTTTTTCCATATGAGTGATTCTATAATTGCAGGTACAGTTGGTGTCCGAAGTCATTATTTTTTTTCTGCTTTTTTCAAATGGTTATATTTTAAATTATTTTAATACTGTGTTACTAATGGTTATGAATTACAAGATGTTACAGTCCATAGCAATAAAATATTTTGTTTGCAAAAAGTGTCTTAAATAGCTGGAAATCATGATTTCTTGTTGTCCGAATTAGCATTTTTTTCCATCATGTATCATTGTGTAATCAAAATATTTTATGTGTTTGGCAAGCACTGAATTATTAAAATTAAATATGTTTTCAATAAGATACTGAAAAAAAAAAAATATGTTAGTGAAAAGTTTTGTTTTCTTAACTTTCTGCAATGCCAAATGTATCTCCAATTATAGAATCACCCATATAATAAAAGTGATTTGTATGCAAAAAGATATAAAAGCAGTTTTAAAAATACCATAGTATGTGATTTGACCTCAGTAATGGCAAGCATCATTTGTTATCACATTTCTGGTGACTTATGATGCAGTTTTGAATTGAACTGAAGCATGAATGAGTTTTGAGACCAATGAAAAAGAAGATTTTCAGCCAATAACCAACATTTTTTACTCTTTTTCTAACAAAGCAATGTGTGATGATGACAGAAGGCTTGGAATATAGTGGAATATAGACTACTTTTTGTGGTGCTTTTTTGGAGCTTGATAACCTCTCCCTTTTACTTTTGTTGTTTGAATAAGAGTAGCTTGCAGCCTTGCTTTGTGTTTAATGAAAGAAAAAAATTATTTGAGGTTTGGAATGTGAGATATTCAATATTTGGGTGAACTACTCCTCTAAAAAGGATTTTGTGGTGTAAACCAATTCATATTTGTTGCGTTTTCAGGCGTATTCAACATTATTTTATTGCTCCCTGTAGCTGTACTACTATAAGTCACTGCTGTTAACAGCCTTGATACCAGTTCACACAAATCCAATATAAAAGGATGTGAGTGAGCTTTTCTAACACTATCACTTCACTAGCTTTTCACTAACCGCCTTTTATATTTTATAGTGTGTAACTATAAGAAGTCTGAATCTTAGTTGAGCCTGTAGTGGGACGTATGAACGGTGTTTGTCCAATGCCCTGGTTCTTCCACCCTGTTATCACTCATGTTCCACCCTCCCTTCTGTCCCCTCAGCTTCTCTTATCTGCCTCCCCCATTCCTCTCCCTCGCTCTCTCTCACCTTCTCCATCTCTCTC